TAATTGATACCGGAGTTATTTAAATCTCACTTCTTACTAATCTGTTCCTCTCTCAGACTCAGGCCAACTCTTCCTGTATGTCCTTTGAAAAACTAATATTGGATTCTGCAACTTCTCTCCAGGCCTCCAGTATTCCAGTTAATGAATAATTTAAGTGTTGAGAAGTAGGAGGCTAGGGAAATAAATGTAGTTGATGAGAAAACTTAGTCTAGGATGTTTGTGGCAGAAGAGAATCAAGTATTTGATGATAAGAGAGTATCAGAGGATTTTTTTACTTTCCATCATAGCCTAGATAGCTTTAAAAAGCTCAGAAATGGGAAAGCAGAAAGCTTTCTGGGGGAAAAAAAAATATGCAAAAAACCCTCTTAAGCTGATACTTATAAGCAGTTTATCATCTTTAATTCAGTTGGTCTTTTTGGTAAAAAACTCAATAAATTAATGTGTTTTGTTGTCATAAAAATGCCTTGAAACCACTTCTCCTTTTCCTCCATTTAGCCTGTTTGTTTTTTTTTTTTTTTTGGAATATAGTGGTGGCTTGAGGGTTGAATTTGGTAGGGTTTTGTTTCCAGTTTTGTGCAGTCACTGGGATTGTCTTCTGATGTCTAATGGACAAGAGTAATGGGGTAATGCTGCTTTTGAAGAATTTATTTTAGAAAAACAAGACATGGCATGTGAAAGTCTTGGTGTTGCATTTTTGGTTACCACTTCTGTGTAAACAAGAATGTGGAAAGTCTTTTCTTAGTTCCTTTTCTTTAGGTAGAACTTTTCAACAAAAATTCAATTGCTGTATTTGTGTTTGAGTGCCCATTTCCATGAAGGCACAACTTTGAACGAAAAGAATAAATATTTCAATCCAGAAACACCCATTATGATTATGTCCCTGGTCTCCTCCATAACACAAAGTAAAGAATTTTACTGATTATTTTTTTCCTGCTTAAAAATTGTAGCATTTCTGCTTTTTTTGTCAAGAACCATGTCTCAGGAGCTGCACAGGTTCAACCAGTCTCATGACACTTAAAATCTTACCACCTAAATGCTGGAGAAAAGAGTATTTCTGTGCTACATGCAGTGATTTCATAGAATCCTAGAATGCCAGGCTGGAAGGGACCTCAAGGATCATCTGGTCCAACCTCTCTAGTTGATATGAGATGGCTTTTTCAGAAGGAAAAGTTGGTTAATGCCATCAGGAAAGCCAGAGGGTTTAATACCTGGTCTGGAGGAGGGGGAAGGAGCTGTCTGTGCCTTAAGAGAGACACTAAACTGATCAGATGACAAATGCACCAACATCAGCCAGATGGGTAAAAATCTTCAAACTCACTGTATCTGTTTTACCTGGGCACTTTGGAACAGTGGGAAACCAAAAAAATGTATTTGAAAAGGAGAGAAGTCTTAGAAATCACACCCTTTAGAGTAACTGACTCTGCTGTGGTATTTCAAATGCAGGCTTCCATGTGTCACCAGACAATTTGTATGGACAGCTGAAAACTGCACAAAGAATGCTTCTCTTTTGTGCTTAAAAGAAAGCAGCAAATAATAATAATAAGCCTTTAGAAAATGTGCAGAAAAATCTCTAAGTGAATGAAGACATTACTGTGCTGTCTGCTTTGCTTTCAAAGTAGAGTTCAGCACAAGACAAAGGTTCAGCTATTTGAAATCTGGTTCCTAGTGACTAGAAATGCATGCCTGGGGTTCTGTGGATGTCCCAGTACTCTGCCCTTTTCTGGATGGTGTCACAGTCTCCAGGGGAGCCTCTCCTGCAACACTGAAGTGCCACAAACCTCCTTTGCTTTTCTATACCCTTTTCTATGTCATTTGTGAGCTCATCCCACTGTTTCTCTTACCTGCCTTTCCTTCTCAGATAATTATGGATTAAAAGTGTTCAGTCCCCCTCTGCCAATGAAGCAGAGAGAGGCATGTACACACAGGCACTTTTCTTGGATCATGTAACAGGGAAGCTCTGGGAGAGAGGAACAGAAAGGTATGTCTCTGAGAGCTTCTGTCATGACTGAGACCCTGCCAAACTCCTCTGCTTCTTTCCCAGGCACAGCAGCAAAGCCTCATGAGGGGAGAGGAACTGGACTACTTGTGGATGAGTTTCCGTTCATTAGTTGCAGACTTAAAGCTCAGATTTAGGGTAGTGCAAATATATTTGCTCTGGTTATCTTGTCAATTAGAAACAATGGGTTTTTTTGTTTAAATCCTCCAGGTTAGGAAGCTTGAATTTTGATGAGTACAGCATCTTGAGAAGAGAACAGCATCATGTAGCCTTCATTCTGTACAAAGATTTTTCTGGTTATGGTATCATTTATGGTCATAGTGCATAGAGTCAGCTCTTTGGGCAATTCCCCATGTGTTTGAGAGTAAATACAGTAAAAAAAAAATCAAGATTTTTTTTTTACTTCATAATTTGTTGGACAGCAAATTTAATATCCACTCACTCCTGCTTAGTAGGTGGTATCTTTTTCTTCCTGGGTTTTGTATGATTGGTTGCTCTGAATAAAGTTAAGCTTCATGGTAAGCAGCACATGGCTGTTCCACAATGAACTCTATTTCATGCTCTGGAACTGACATAATCTTAACAAGATGCAGTTTAGGATCACTGTAATCGGTGCAGAAATACTTACCTAAAGGCTCACTTTGCTAATTGCAATCATTTTCCAGGGGGTAAATCCACTGCAGCAGAGTATATTAACTGGACAAGTTCAGACTAGAGCTTTAGAATGAAAAGGTCGTGTAAGTGTCAGCACAGCAAAATCCACAAGGTGATTTAAAGTTTGTTAGTAACACACATAGTAAACCATAAATAGCTTTATTTTTATAGGAAATCCTACTTTGCTTGAATTACTGTAGAGAAATACTGAGTCCATTGAAGAGATTGCATTTGAATTCTTTAGAAATGCCAATGATGAAAACAGTTTCAGTAAAGTGATGCTGGATTTGCTATAAACAAGTGTTAAGTAGCAGTTGGTGTGTCCTTCTGGCTTTGTGTCCTGCTCCAAAAACAGATGTTTCAGCAGTTGACATGAGGCTTTTCTACAAGTTATTTGCTCATTCTTCAGCTGTATCACCAATAGTCTGGTGATACCCCCTCTCAATGTCCACTTGACAAGTTATTTCTAATTATAATTCTGAAGTATGTGTCATTCCAATCAATATTCAATAGATTTAAACTGTGATGACAATTAAGAGTGCCCTGAATTCTCTTAAATAAGTGTATTGAGGTAGGTGTTTCTTAAAATGGCAAGAAGTCCTCTGAACCATGGGCTGGTTTAAATCTTCATGCCACTACATACACTCTACATAGCTCTGCAATATCTGGCATGCAGAAGATGTATTCTTGTGCTGCTCAGCACGCAGGACTGGAAAATCTTTTCAGAAGTGTGAGAGGAATCCACTGAAGACTTTTAAGAGCAGCAAATCTCTACAAAAAGCATAAGCAGGAGATAGTAGTAAGTAGTGAGTTGACATTATTCATAAGCTCAGGGATTTGTTATCGTAATTGGGAATTAGATGGAGAAGGAACAGTTGAGATGATCATAAAAGGAATGTTAATTCTATGTTTTCAAGACAGGCACGAACATCTAGAGAGCTATTTAAAACTTGCCAGTTCTAAAAATTTCAACTGCAAATGAGTAAGATTCAAAGAGGACTTTAAAATAGCCAAGACCTAGGTTGTAACATTTTTAAATGAACAGGAGGCAACAACAATTTTTAAATGGCAACAGGTGAGGTTGGAGCTAGATGATCTTTAAGGTCCCTTCCAACCCAAACCATTCTGTGATAAAGACTTCAGGTCATTATTGGTTTAAGATAGAGGAAAATCAGTCTCCAGAGAGGCAAGAGAGTGGCTTTGGCTGGATTCTCTGCTGGAGAGCAGGGATGAAACAGGTTTCCTGCTGTAACTTTGTGGCTGTGACTTTTGCACTGCAGCTGGTTAGTCATGCATTTATGTTATGAGGGAGTTACATGTGATAAACACAGCTTTGAGTCCTAAATGTAATACAGTCTTGAAAACAGATGAACATCTTATAAGTGGTGATTCCAAGGAACAAAGTGGTAGGGCTCAGGGTTTTGCTTGTTAGAACCAGTAAGAAACACAAGATACAGAGCGTGTGTCCCCTCAAGCACCTGCTACTTGGAGGTAAAGTTCTAGTGTCTTTTAGTATAATTGCTTTTGAATTTTTAAACCAGTATAAACTAGCTTTTTAATAAGAAAAATTCCTTGTGAGTATCCCCATGTGTGCCATGAAAAGGCAGGAATTTGCAAGAGAAACAGGAAGTCAGTGAAATAATCTTCATAAAGTTTAGCAAGGTGGAATTTCTGGTCTGTGGGTGTTGGGAAATGAGAGTCTCCAAGTATCAAGCATATCAAATATCTGATGTGTGAGGCTGTGTCTATGAAGGCTGCACATCATGTGTGGAGAAGGGAGCAGTGACCTGTACTTTCCGCTGTAAGATCCTGTTTTTACTTACAACTTACCCAAATTTCAGTAATTGAGGCAGAAACTTTCCATGAAGCTGCCGTCAAGGAGGAGCCGGGATGTCAGCACGGCAATAAAAACACACTAAACTCCCTGCAAAACCAGCCCCTGGAACCATGGAGGCATTTGCCTGCCTTCGTTTCTTTGAATACCACTTTTCCCCCAGAGGGATGATATTTGCTGCTGGATGTTATTAAGATTAATCCATGAGTGTTGGTGTAGCATTCTGTTATTATGGTGATGAGTGGGTGTGATAAGGCCATGAGGAAATAAAGAGCTTTGCATTTGGTGTTTTGTTTGGGTGCTGGTTAAGATGAAGCCTTGCTAAGGCTTGAGTGGAAAGCACCAGGTATCAACCTTCCCATCTGCAGAGTGAGGCAAACCCCAGCTGTGCACCTGAGGCACTGCCATGAGGCATCCAGGGCTCCCAAAGCAAGTCCTGGCACAACCAGAGTCATCACTTCTACATGCATTTAAGAATATCCTCCTCATTCTTCTTATCTCTTTGTTTTCTCATAGTGAGTGTTGAAAAAGTGGAGTTAAAGGGACTGGCACACAAGAAGAATGAAAGAAATGTTGAATATTCCTTTGAGGTAAGTGTTTGTGATTGTTGTTTTACTGTGAAAGCAAGGAGGATAATATTTAAGAAGCAGTTAACAAACCTTATTTTTGGATCCCTAAAATTTGTCTAGTGCAGCTCCTTGGGGACGGATGCTACTTGTATTGTATTGTGATTTTGGAAGTAGTCACAAACTGCCGTTGATGAACACGTGTGGATGATGCAGAGTGGGACAGAGGCAAAATAAAAATACCCACTCTAATGCAGCAGGTTGTGGGAAAGTACATATGTAGGGGAAAAAATGTCTACACTTACAGAATGGGTATTTCTGGGTATCTATGTGTTGGAATGCAGAAGCTAGAAAGAATTTAATTATTCTTCTGGATGAAGAAGAGAATCCAGACTCCTAGGTCAGTGTTGCATGTGTGGGAAAAGAGGTAGGACAGTCATTTATCTTTGCATTCAGCACTGAGGGGAGTGTGAGGCTGTGGTATATGGTTCAAGTGCTACTGGTTTTAAAAGAAGTGTTGAAGAATACAGAAAATAACTATGGAAATGATTCCAGGCTTGAGGAAAATGCCATGCAGTGAGAGAGTTAAGTAACTTGACTGAAAGATGGCTTTGAGTATCATAAAAGAGCGTTTTCAAAGGGAAGAAAATATTTTAAAGAGGGCGTTAATCTTGCAGAAAAAGGCACAACAGGAACTGTTGTCTGAACATTGAAGCCAGACTAATTCAAACTGGAAGTGGGAATAGTTTCTTTGGAATGAGAGTGGTTAACCACAATCTGCTTAGGGAAGTGCCCACCCCCCCTGTTTTTACGCAGCTTTTGGAGGTTGGGTGGTTGCTCACAATTTCTGTGGAAGGATGACTTCATCTTGTGGACCTGGTATTGGGAGCAGAGACTGGGCCCTGGGTGCTGGTGAGAGAGAAGGACAAACTGCTTTTCTCCCATCTAGTTGGAACGACCTCTTCCAAAATTCAGAATGCAAAGCCCAGAAAATATCTTTGGTTTGTTTAGTGAGGCAGTGGAGCCAAAGAGTTGGTGAGAAAAGGAGAACCTGAAAAAAAACTGGACAGTAGAATGTCAATTATAACTTTCAGCAAAAAGAGAAAGTGAGTCTTTAAAACTATCCCCCAAGATGGAGCGTTGGGTCAGCATCTTGTGATGTTGGCAGCATTAAGTGCTGCGTGACTGGATTTGTGGGTAATGTTTTCTGAATCCCATCATTTTTCCAAATGTCATCAGCATTAGGATGGATGTTTTTTGTGGGGGTTGAAAAATCTTTATGGACTATGCAGCTGTCTAGACTCCAGTTAAATATTAGTATCTTGAGAAACATCTTTTCCTATTATATTTTTTTCTATAAATACCAGAAATTACTTTTACCAGTATTTCACTTGACAGCTTGTAGCTGTAAGAATAGTACATAGTTTAGCTGGGCTAATAAATTGCTTTTTGCTGGGTTATAAACCAAACTATTAAATGTTTTGCTCAGTAGTTTGGGAATAGAAGGTCAATAGATAGAGCAGTTCAGTGTTCCCAGCATCACTTCCTAAGCCATTGTTCCCTGCATTTACAGTTCACATTCTTGTTTTATAAGTATTAAAGATCATACCAAGTTAGCAAAACCTAACAAATGGGGTACTAGAAAATTAGAAAGGAAGAGAAATTTCTCCTGTATCTCCTGAAATTTCTCACAAATCTAAAATAACTACTCATTTATCACAAACTTTAAAAAAGCAAACAGAAGAACCCCAAGACTTTGAAAAACCAGAAAGTCCTTCAGTTTTCTTCTTTTCTTCCCTTACTTTTTGTGCAGCAGCTCTGCAGAGAGGAAATTCCTCCATTATGTAATGTATTTTGAAATACTCTCCTCTCACCAGTCATTTTGGCAGCATTCTGATGGCTGGAAAAGACTTTGTGTATGTTTCCAGTTGTCATTGAAACTAGTGTCATGTGAGAAGAAGGCCTCCTGAGACTTAAACACATCAATCCAGCTCCTTCCCCTACAGGACTGCTGAAAACCAAGAGCCTTCCAACATCTCCAGTATCTTCATTCTGGAGGGACAGAGCACTGGCCAGTCTCATGCTGGTACTCTCTGTGCCAAGAAGCCCTGATTTCTGGCTCCTTCAAACTAATCATCTACCATCCAATAAATGCTGCAGTATCCAGGAATGTCATGACTTCATGCAGAAAGCCTAAGGGAAGAGACACTGAGCCATTTCCTTTTTGTAGGGCATGGAGAAGGTGGTGGCAGAGGAGCCTGGTTAGAGCAGTAACTTCAGGTTTCTTTTCTAAGGTTTTGCCTTTTTTTGCAGCAGGGTGATTTGTTGCCATCTTTAACTTTGCTTGGCATGTGGAATTGATTAATTATAAATAGGCACTGTTGTGCTGTGGTGAGTTGTTCATATTGTCCATCAGATTCTACAAACCAGCTGTTTAGGAAGAATAATAATAATACAAAAATTTCCATTACTTAGTAGTCTGTTCTCTAATACTGGGTGTCTGCAGGGTGCAGTGGCTGTGTAAACCCTGAAGGGCTTCTTTTAAGCATTCAGAGTAATTGTTAAGTATAACAACAGCAAGAATCAGGAAGCAAGGGAGGACTGAGTAATAGTTACTTGTGCACAGTTTTTCCATGTTGATGTCACATGTTACAAACTCTCATGCAATCTCTGGGGACATCTGATACCTAATATTGATCTTCTGGAGTCAAACTGAAATCTCTTGACTATTAGATACTAACCTGGACACTTTTTTACTTCCCAAGGTCCTGTGGTCGGATTCTTCAGTGACGTCGGTAACCAAATCCTCCACTGAAGTGACTGAATTTATTTCAAAGGTAAAGGTGGTATGAAAAAATACTGTGAAATCAGATATTTTGTCCCTGTAGGTAATTTTGTTAAATGGCATTTTTTCAAAATGGATGGAGATATATATATTTAATTTCAACAAGTGTTTGACTATAAATTGAGTCTCAGATGAGTGACAAGTCGTCTTTTCACTTAGCATATGAAATATCCTCTGTCTTTAGCTCTCCCAGCTGTATCCAGAAGAAAACATGGAGAAATTCATTCCTTGCCTAGCTGGTCCAGATTCATTTTACCTCGAACGGAACCACATGGACCTGGAATCAGACCTTAGGTATGCTGGGCTTTTGGCTGTTGTAGTTCTTTTATCTTAACACTTGGCTTTTTTCACCAAGTGGGAGAAAGAAACAGGAAAGAGAAATAATATGTTTATATTTTAAGTTACTTTCCAGAAATTGGAGCCTGATCCTAAGCACTGTTTTTTCGTGTTCTACTAATTCCATTGCACAAAAAACTTCCAGGAATTCTTTCTTCAGTAGTACATATGGTAACAATATTCTGTATTCATGTTCCTGGAGAACTGACATTTCCTAATTCCGTGTTAGAAACAAGTAGTGGATCATTTGCTTTGCAGAAGCTTAATTTGGGCTCAAAAAATAGTCAAGACTGCTTTGAAAAAAATAAATCAAAACTAAGGAAAAATAAAATACTTGTCCATACCTCTTCACGTTATCACAAATCACCTGGTGATGATCTGATCTAAACCATCATCTGTGGCAGATCACATCATGGAATCACAGAATGGTGAAGGTTGGAAGGGACCTTAAAGATCATCAGGTTCCAACCTCCCTGCTATGAGCAGGGACACCTCCCACCAGACCAGGCTGCACAAGCCTCATCCAACCTTGAACACCTCCAGGGATGGGGCAGCCACAACCTCCTTGGGCAACCTCTGCCAGTGCTTTCCTACCCTCATGGGGAAGAATTTCTTCCTGATGTCTAACCTAACCCTCTTTCAGTTTAAAACCATTACCCCTTGTCCTGTCACTTCCCTCTCTGGTGAAAAGCTCCTCCCCAGCTTTCCGGGAGCCCCTTCAGGCACCGGAAGGTGCTCTAAGGTCTCTCCAGAGCCTTCTCTTCTCCAGGCTGAACACCCCAACTCTCTCAGCCTGTCTCTATAGCAGAGCTGCTCCACCCCTTGGATCATCTTTGTGGCCCTTCTCTGTGACCTCTCCAACAGGTCTATATCTTTCCTGTGCTGAGGGCTCCAGAGCTGGACACAGTTCTCTCCAAGTACCGTGTTAGTTTTGCTAGGAAAATTCAAGGGACTACAAGTATTTTCAGCCACTGCTGCCTTTACCCATGCAAACTACTAAACATTGTTTTAAAATACCAATTACCTTTTGCTAGACCTTCTGCTAAACACCTCTTTCCCCTACATCAAGACAGGCCTTTGTCCACCACTGGCAGAGCCACAGTGGATATTGTTTTTCCATAGTTGGAGCCAGCAGGTGCCTGCCTAGAGTATTTTTTGGGGAAAACCAGCATTAACATTTCAAGCAGTTCCTTCTGTGCTTTGAAGGTGATCCTACTGAGGAGAATTAGGGAAAAGTAAGAGAGAGGAAGGCATCTTGCTGCTGCTGCTGTTTAGCTAGCAACAGTCTCTACAAATCTAGGTTAATAGAGCAGCAATCTGTGTTCACACAGCAACAGCTCAGTCTCTGGAGCAGAGCAAGAAGCTGCTTTGTCCAGTGCTGCATATTTGAAAAATTCACAAATTAACTGATTACTCCAGTTTGAAGGCACATCTGTGTGTGTAGTTGAATTACTTCTTACTTAGACTTTTTAAAAATTAGAATATGGTCAAAACACTCTCCTTTTTTAACAACTTTTTAAGACCTTTTTGCAATGTACAGATGTGGCAAAAGGCTGACTGCCTTGCTGTGTAACAACGAGGAGTCTATTCATGTTGATAGAACACACTATACACTGCAGAGTTTTAGGAGATTGTCATTTGTCCCCAAAAAAGAGGCAAAACAGTCCCAGGGAAAATGTGACATGAGTCTTACAGCCTTTTTCCCTCCTCTGCCAAACTCTGCATCTGCTGTTTATCTCAGAGAGGAGAAAATTAAGTAACAGATATATCTGTGTTTTTATGGCATTCAGGTTCATTAACTCAAAAGGAAGTTTTCAAGTTTGTGTTTTACCATTTTCAAGTTTATATTTGAACATTTTCTGCCTCACAAGTGTTTGGTGTTCCTAAATGAAACATCTTTACTGAAACGCTGAACGGAGTGAAAGCAACACAACGATAATGTGTGTTTATGTGGTATGAAGGATGAGAACATCCATGCATTTCAGGTCTACTTTGAATCAGCTTTGGGTGGTGTTACTAATTGGAAAGGCCTTTTATGTTTTAATTTTTAAAAAATTCAAATTCAGTTTTTAAATTTCATGTACAGTTATGACTGCATAGGCAGCTGCAAATCAAACATAACAGAATTGGGGGTTTGTTTGTTTTTTCATGAATTTGCAGGTATTTGGCACCATTACCTTCCCATGTGGTGAAGAATGACCACGTTAGAAAGTTCTTCAGCACTTCATCTCCTTCACAGCAACTTCAGAGTTCAAGTAAGTTTAAATAAACTTTAAAAAGGGATTTTTTTTTGTACTGGTGTACATTGCATAAATTGATGCTATCTTTAACTTCTGTTCCCTGTTTTTAGATTCTGGCAACCCCTCCCTTTATAAAGTAGGAACTATGTTGGGAACATCTGGAAGGTGAAGTATTTGTTTTGTTTACATTTGTTCTGCTTAGTTGTAAAAACCCATTAGATGGGTGATTATCTCTCTCCTTTGGGGATTTATTTGAGTCTGCACTTTTATATTCATCTGCAGAAGATCTTAAGAAATTCTAGCCTGTGTGTGTGTGTGGTCTGCCCAAAGCAGGCACCTAATGAGAATATTGATGTAAGGTTCTAACATTCCTACTGTTCCCTTTGTTCATTCTTTAAATGCTTTAAGAAAACACACCTTAGAGTAATAACTGCATGTAAAATGTAATTACTATTGGACCAAACTTTCTTGCATTGTGACAGAATCTCTCGTCATTGGCAGTTGTGAGATCAGCAGGCGCTCTCTTGTCCTAGGAAATGTGTATGCTCAGGGAAGAATTTAGGGAAGGCTTTTGACCAGCGTTGCATGGGAGGTGAGATCAGATGATTGCAGTGTGTTCCTGCTGGCAGTCAAACCTATGAACACCCGTTCTAAGCAGCACTTCTCAAAATGTTTTACGTCGTAACTGCCAGTTGGCATCAGCACTTGCGTGCTGAGCTGCAGTGATGAGGATTGCTCTGTGAGCTGCTGCTTGTGGCACAAGTTGTGATGGTCTCAATCTCTTCAAGGGAATAATGATTACCCAAATTGTAGGCACAGACCCAAGTATAACTCTTTATGGGCAAAGGGAGAGGAGAGCAACCCTGAAAGGGTGGGGTTTTTTTTCCTCTCTGCAGCATCTTTGAATGTTTCCTTGCACAGCAGGGATTTCCTTTCAGAGGGAGGAAGGAAACCTCTTCCCAAGGAGGTACAGCTCAGCCTTGGGAAACAGGGCTTTGTCCACCACTGGCAGAGCCACAGTGGATATTGTTTTTCCATAGTTGGAGCCAGCAGGTGCCTGCCTAGAGTATTTTTTGGGGAAAACCAGCATTAACATTTCAAGCAGTTCCTTCTGTGCTTTGAAGGTGATCCTACTGAGGAGAATTAGGGAAAAGTAAGAGAGAGGAAGGCATCTTGCTGCTGCTGCTGTTTAGCTAGCAACAGTCTCTACAAATCTAGGTTAATAGAGCAGCAATCTGTGTTCACACAGCAACAGCTCAGTCTCTGGAGCAGAGCAAGAAGCTGCTTTGTCCAGTGCTGCATATTTGAAAAATTCACAAATTAACTGATTACTCCAGTTTGAAGGCACATCTGTGTGTGTAGTTGAATTACTTCTTACTTAGACTTTTTAAAAATTAGAATATGGTCAAAACACTCTCCTTTTTCAACAACTTTTTAAGACCTTTTTGCAATGTACAGATGTGGCAAAAGGCTGACTGCCTTGCTGTGTAACAACGAGGAGTCTATTCATGTTGATAGAACACACTATACACTGCAGAGTTTTAGGAGATTGTCATTTGTCCCCAAAAAAGAGGCAAAACAGTCCCAGGGAAAATGTGACATGAGTCTTACAGCCTTTTTCCCTCCTCTGCCAAACTCTGCATCTGCTGTTTATCTCAGAGAGGAGAAAATTAAGTAACAGATATATCTGTGTTTTTATGGCATTCAGGTTCATTAACTCAAAAGGAAGTTTTCAAGTTTGTGTTTTACCATTTTCAAGTTTATATTTGAACATTTTCTGCCTCACAAGTGTTTGGTGTTCCTAAATGAAACATCTTTACTGAAACGCTGAACGGAGTGAAAGCAACACAACGATAATGTGTGTTTATGTGGTATGAAGGATGAGAACATCCATGCATTTCAGGTCTACTTTGAATCAGCTTTGGGTGGTGTTACTAATTGGAAAGGCCTTTTATGTTTTAATTTTTAAAAAATTCAAATTCAGTTTTTAAATTTCATGTACAGTTATGACTGCATAGGCAGCTGCAAATCAAACATAACAGAATTGGGGGTTTGTTTGTTTTTTCATGAATTTGCAGGTATTTGGCACCATTACCTTCCCATGTGGTGAAGAATGACCACGTTAGAAAGTTCTTCAGCACTTCATCTCCTTCACAGCAACTTCAGAGTTCAAGTAAGTTTAAATAAACTTTAAAAAGGGATTTTTTTTTGTACTGGTGTACATTGCATAAATTGATGTATCTTTAACTTCTGTTCCCTGTTTTTTAGATTCTGGCAACCCTCCCTTTAAAGGAAGTTTTCAAGTTTGTGTTTTACCATTTTCAAGTTTATATTTGAACATTTTCTGCCTCACAAGTGTTTGGTGTTCCTAAATGAAACATCTTTACTGAAACGCTGAACGGAGTGAAAGCAACACAACGATAATGTGTGTTTATGTGGTATGAAGGATGAGAACATCCATGCATTTCAGGTCTACTTTGAATCAGCTTTGGGTGGTGTTACTAATTGGAAAGGCCTTTTATGTTTTAATTTTTAAAAAATTCAAATTCAGTTTTTAAATTTCATGTACAGTTATGACTGCATAGGCAGCTGCAAATCAAACATAACAGAATTGGGGGTTTGTTTGTTTTTTCATGAATTTGCAGGTATTTGGCACCATTACCTTCCCATGTGGTGAAGAATGACCACGTTAGAAAGTTCTTCAGCACTTCATCTCCTTCACAGCAACTTCAGAGTTCAAGTAAGTTTAAATAAACTTTAAAAAGGGATTTTTTTTGTACTGGTGTACATTGCATAAATTGATGCTATCTTTAACTTCTGTTCCCTGTTTTTAGATTCTGGCAACCCCTCCCTTTATAAAGTAGGAACTACGTTGGGAACATCTGGAAGGTGAAGTATTTGTTTTGTTTACATTTGTTCTGCTTAGTTGTAAAAACCCATTAGATGGGTGATTATCTCTCTCCTTTGGGGATTTATTTGAGTCTGCACTTTTATATTCATCTGCAGAAGATCTTAAGAAATTCTAGCCTGTGTGTGTGTGTGGTCTGCCCAAAGCAGGCACCTAATGAGAATATTGATGTAAGGTTCTAACATTCCTACTGTTCCCTTTGTTCATTCTTTAAATGCTTTAAGAAAACACACCTTAGAGTAATAACTGCATGTAAAATGTAATTACTATTGGACCAAACTTTCTTGCATTGTGACAGAATCTCTCGTCATTGGCAGTTGTGAGATCAGCAGGCGCTCTCTTGTCCTAGGAAATGTGTATGCTCAGGGAAGAATTTAGGGAAGGCTTTTGACCAGCGTTGCATGGGAGGTGAGATCAGATGATTGCAGTGTGTTCCTGCTGGCAGTCAAACCTATGAACACCCGTTCTAAGCAGCACTTCTCAAAATGTTTTACGTCGTAACTGCCAGTTGGCATCAGCACTTGCGTGCTGAGCTGCAGTGATGAGGATTGCTCTGTGAGCTGCTGCTTGTGGCACAAGTTGTGATGGTCTCAATCTCTTCAAGGGAATAATGATTACCCAAATTGTAGGCACAGACCCAAGTATAACTCTTTATGGGCAAAGGGAGAGGAGAGCAACCCTGAAAGGGTGGGGTTTTTTTTCCTCTCTGCAGCATCTTTGAATGTTTCCTTGCACAGCAGGGATTTCCTTTCAGAGGGAGGAAGGAAACCTCTTCCCAAGGAGGTACAGCTCAGCCTTGGGAAGAGACAGAAAGAAATTCTCATGCCTTTTGCTAGGATTTAAAACAAGCTCAGAACTCCTTCTCTGCAGAGGCAATTCTCATTTTTTCCAACAAAACCCAGAACCCTCCAAGGAGACAATGTTGTGGGTTATTTTGCCACTTCCACCCACTAAAAAAAATCCAGAGGATTATATTTGGGGTTCTTTTTAATAATGCAAACCTGAACTGTGTCCATTCTCTCTAAGCCTTTTTTTCATCACAGAGATGTAGTAGAACATAGATTATCTGTGATTAAACAAGGAAACCTCTGCTTGAGCTGAGGATAAGGCTTCGTATTTGCCATGAACTGCCGTGTTCTTGTTGTGCTGTTGAACAGCACAGGTACAAATCTGTACCTTGCAGCACCCAGTGCAGGTTTTACCAGCAATCCTGGAAGTGGTAGTTTTGTATGGCTGTAGCAGCTGAGCTCTGGGTGCCACGGATTCCATGTGCTAAATCAAATTCTGTTACTATTTTGCAGACCTATATGTGGAGTGGCTGGCATTCAGGCTTCTCAGAACCACGTCCAGCACTCGGCTGCTGCTCCGGTTGCACTGCCCCACTGCTCCCACCCCGGAGGCACTGGCTCCTCGTTGGCCTATCGCACCCCCATGGACACCTCTTCTTCACCCATGCTAATGTCTTCCAGCCCACAGACCCCTCAGACACAGGAGCAAAATGGGATCTTAGACTGGCTCAGGAAACTGCGCTTGCACAAGTACTACCCTGTCTTCAAACAGCTCACGATGGAGAAGGTAGGGGAGCAGAGGGAGCACAGAGCCAGCTTTAAATTACCCTTCTGTTCTCTGAGTGTGGAGAGAGAAGCTGCACACATCTGCATTGAGAGTTGCAGAAGCTCTTGGCCAGTGCTGAGGTGGTTTGCACTCTCTTGAAGCAATCATATTCTGAAGAAAACCTTCTTCCTATTTTTGCTCTGCCTTGTGTCCAGGGCTTGGGCTGTGCAACAGCTGCTCTGTTTCAGAATTCTTCACTGAATACTTGAAGATCCAACTTGCATTCTGGCTTTGGAGCTCTGCTTTGGATCTCTGGTCATCCCTTTGATGTGCAGTAGATGACTCCAATTTGTTGATTTCTTAAATTTCTACTTCTTGATTGATTTTTCTCCCAAAATATTTAGTTATCTTTCTTTTTTTTAAAAAAAAAATCAGACTTCTGACATGAGCATTAGCATGTGTACATACCTGCAAGTGAATGGGAAGCTTTTGTTTCCAGCAGAAACTCTTGTGGAAAAATATATACTTAATGTGTTTGCATTTAGTAAGAGTCACCCGTGACAATGATGTGGGCTGGTTTTTATCTGAACAGGAACTTCTATAGCACTTACCAGCTCCAGCTGTCAAATTCGTGTCCTTGCTGTCTTTTAGCCTTGAACGCCCTCCAGTGGACCAAGTGGTTGAACTAAATGGTTCTTCCTGCTGGTTCTAGGATGTTTTCTGTATTTAATTACAATCTATTACCAGAGTCTTCTGATTTGATTGTCTTCATTATGTGAGGGGACATATATAGTAGGGTTTTCTTTTAAAAACATGGCAAAACTATGCATAATCTAGTGTGGTTTAAAAAAACCCATATTATGCATACTTTGCTGGCTTTAATTTTAATTGTATTCTATTATAGTTTTTTTCCTGTTTTATGTCTCTGCTTTATTATAAACTTTTGGTTGCAAGTGTCTTTTCAATTAAACTGATGAGATGACTGCACATTAATTCCTGTTTTAAATGACACAAGCAAGAAAAGAGTGATTTTTTTTTTAAAGAGAAACTGATCCTTCAGCTCATTCCTAGCACAAAGTTCTGTTTTAATATGTACAAAAATTACTTCATCTTTATTGTAAATAGATAATATAAATAGCACATGCACAATTAAATTTAAACAATGGATGTTCTTTCTTCCATCCAAGTCCCACACTTTTTATTCTACAATGATTCCATAATTTAAAACCAGAGTAAAGGTTCTATGAATTAAGAAAAGCTTTAAAAATGGCTTTAAAATTGTCTTTCAGAATTGCTTTACTGGAAATGTAAACAAGAATATTTCAGGCTGTAAAACTAAGCACAACTTTTTTTTTTTTCTTTACAAGTTTCTCAGTCTTACTGAAGAAGATCTGAATAAGTTTGAGTCCCTCACCATGGGAGCAAAGAAGAAGCTCAAGACCCAGCTGGAGTTGGAGAAGTAAGTGGCAGGGGAAAACTGTCTTTTTAAGGTCCTAAGATACCTAATCAATGTTTTTTGCCAGACCAGAAACCTACCAGTATTCCCACATGCAAAGCCCAGGTAGATTCTGGTCTGACCATATCCCTGAGATTCATGGGGGAGGGGGGAATCAGGCAAGCAAGCCACTGAGCTGCAGTTACTTAAAAAGCAATTAAAAAAATCCATGTCCATTCATCAAAGCTCCTCGACAGCATTTTTCACCAGTCTTAGATTTTCCAGAATGTGTTTGCCAGATGAAAACTTGGGAGTGCATTTGGCTTCTGTTTGGTGTTGGTGTGCTTGGCTGGGTTTGGGATGTGCTATGGGAACGTGTGATAGGGTGTAGCCACCACTTGGTGCTGTTTTGCCTTGTACAAGCAAGAGCATTAGTATTGGAATCAGATGGTAAACAGTCCAAATGGAACTGCTGGCAAGAACCTGTGGTCGAGATGGATGTAATTTCCAAATGTTTCCATTTGAAATTAGCATAACATGTTAGTGGATTATTGTGTGGGCTTTGTCTGCTTCCGATTCCTTGCCTGTTGTTGTGCCTTAGCCAGGCCTTGTTTCTTCATACCTTTCTCTGTCCCCCTACAGAGAAAAATCAGAGAAACGGTGCCTAAACCCCACAACACCTTCTGCAGTTACCAGCAGTGGTGTGGCAAGGGTCCCCCCCACCACACATGTTGGGCCCATCCAGAGTATTCGTGGCAACCACGCTGCAGGTAAGGAGGGGGAGCAGAGGACACTGCTGTGCTCTCAGGGCCAAGTATGTCCTGGCACAAGAGTGAGTTCATTCTTGCACTGCTTTTTATTCAGCAACCTGTCCCTAAATTTTCTCTTTTAAAATGCCATTGGCTGAATAGGGAGCAGTCAGAAAGTCCCGTTGCTGTGGTCTTGAGTGCAGTAACAAGTAGCTGCCTCTTGGTGGTTTCCCTGTGGATGCCCAGCTGCACTGGTCAGCAGCTGTGACACATCCAGGCTCCTGCCTGTAGCCAATGTAGATCTCTGTAAATCCTGAGCACAGAATCATGGAATGTGTGGGGTTGGAAGGGACCTTTAAAGGTCATCTAGTCCAGCCCCTACTGCTGTGCACAGGGACCTTTTTGACTAGATCAGGCTGCTCAGAGCCTGGTTGAGCCTGACCTTGAATGTTTCCAGGGATGGGGCCTCCACCACCTCTCTGGGCAACCTGTTCCAGTGACCCAACACGCTCAGTGTGAAGAACTTCTTCCTAATGTCCAATCTAAATCTACCCTGCTCTAGTTTAAGACCATTGCCCATTGTCCTGTTGTTACAAGCCTTTGTACAGAGTTCCTCCCCAGCTTTCCTGTAGCTCTTTCAGGCACTGGAAGGTGCTCCAGAGTGTCCCCAGAGCCTTCTCTTCTCCATTCTGAACAATAGGAGAGGTGCTCCAGCCCTCTGATCATTTTTGTGGCCCTTCTCTGGACTCATTCCAACAGGTCTATGACCCTCTTGTGTTGAGGACTCCAGAGCTGGACACAGTACTGCAGGTGGAGTCTCCCAAGAGCAGAGGAGCAGAATCACCTCCCTGGACCTGCTGGCATCTCTCTATGTTAAATGTCATAAAAGAGTTGTAATCGGGTCCTGTCAAGTAGGTGTTTCCCCTCTTGTTTGCACTCCCTGGTGGCTCACACACCCTTTCTTTGCAGAGCTGCGTGTGGATGTGGATCAGCCAGCCCACCCACTGCCCCGGGAGGGCAGCTCCTCCGAGTACTCCAGCTCCTCTTCCAGCCCCATGGGGATCCAGACACGGGAGGAGAGTTCGGACAGCGCCGAGGAGAACGAGAGACGTAAGCAGGAACAACCACAGAGGGTGCCTGTTGCCTAGAGAAGCAGTTGTATTTACCCACGTTTCTGTCCCCAGGTTTAGAGATTCACCTGGACGGTTCAGAAAAGGAGAAGCCGGTGATGTTACTGAACCATTTCACTTCCAGCTCTGCCAGACCCACAGCTCAGGTCTTACCAGTGCAGAACGACGCAGGCTCCAATCCGTCCGGCCACCACACTCTGCCAATGCAAATGATGTCACCTGCCTCTTCTCATATCACCCCCATCCGGATGCTAAATTCAGTGCATAAATCAGACCGTGGCAATGCAGACATGAAGCTACTTTCATCGTCTATGCATTCACTTCTATCTTTAGAAGAAAGAAATAAAGTTTCTCCTGGCCCCAGGGGCAGCATAAAAATGGAGAAGAGCTTTGGAAATACAGTGGTGGATGTAATGTCTGCATCTTCTCCCCACCAGCCCCTGCAAGTGCTGTCAGGGGCTGCTGAGAACAGCTCACCCACATCTACTATTAACTTTGGTCCTCGAACCAAAGTCGTCCACGCTTCGACTCTGGACAGAGTGATTAAAACAGCTCAGCAGCCAGGATTAATAGTAGAAACCAGTACTGCTGCCACTGTCACATCCAGCACAGTCTTCCACGTGGCTCGTCCACCCATCAAACTCCTGGTGTCTTCGTCTCTTCCTACTGATTCTGCCATGGCTGGACAGACTTCCTGCTCCAGCAATATGCAAATAACGGTGTCCCCTGCAATAATCAACCCCCGGACTGCTCTGTACACAGCCAACACCAAAGTGGCCTTCTCTGCGATGAGCAGCGTGCCGGTGGCGCCGCTGCAGGGCAGCTTCTGTGCCAACAGCAATGCTGCCTCCTCCAGCAGCCACCCCGCCACCTCCTTCGCCTCCATGGCCAACCTGCCCAGCTGCCCCGCGCCCAGCTCCAGCCCCACGCTCTCCTCCGTCGCCGAGAACAACTTCTACAGCAGCAGCAGCAGCAGTAGCAGCAGCAGGAGGCCACAAGGACACC